GAATTTCTGCCTTCTTCTTTGATTCGGCTTCATCGTTTCTCCGCCTCTCTTCTTTTCCGATGATGGTGTTTTCTTCTCCGCTCGTGATTTCAAGATGCCGCAAAAAACAAACACCTTCCCTGAATTGGTTGAGTTCAGACGATAGTTCACACTTCGATTCACATCGGCGACATTCCTTTCCTCTCCAATCGAATCCGCGACTGTTTGCTTCAAGTTCGACCGCCGACTCTCATTCGCCCCGACCGGAGATGGCGAAATCGACGAGAACTCAGAGATACTCAGTTGTTGCTACGAACCCAGGTACAAATTGAACTTGCGCTTTTGCTTCCTACTTCTTTATCACAATCTCTTTTTGTCGTTGCTTCGATGTTGTTGTTGTTGATCCTGCGTTTGGTTTGTTTACTCCTCTTGTTCTTCTTCTCACACCGTGGGTTCTGTGTTGCAATGTTGATGCCGATGCAATGGTGAATGAAGATGTTGAAGTTTGTTGAGAGTAAGAGAATTCTTGAAGATGAACAAGGTTGAAATTGGAAACTTTGATGGTGATTGAAGAATCGTGACCTTCTGCTGATGATTGAAAATGCAGAGTTGATGAAGATTTTGATTTGATGATGAAATTCCGTTGTTGTTTGATGCAGGGAACATGAGTGGTGAAGCTGAAGTTGAAGATGACGCGTTCTTTGGAGATTGAAGATGTGAAGTTGTTGTTGCACAAGAGGTTGCAGAATATTGTTGCCAAGAGGGGTGAAGGATTTGTCGTGGTTGTTGCAGAGAATTCACGCAGTTGAAGGTTGAAGGCGCTTGAAGTAGTTGTTCTTGATATTAAGAAGTGAATGATGATGATGTTGATGAAGATCAATCAGAATTTCGAGTTTGTTTCTGTGAGATTCCCTTATTCTTCACAATGGTTGAAGAATGATGAAGATGGAAAGGATGCAGAGAAGAGGGATCAAGATTGAATTCCCGATGAAGGTGAATTTCTGTGTAGAAAAATCTGTTCTGAGTTTCTTCCTTTTTTTGCCTTCTGTTATCTCTTTTAATTCTGTTATGCCTTTCTGCTGGATTCTGTTAGAGGCAGTTGGAGTTAGTTTGGATCTGTTTGAAGGTTGGTTATTGAATGTTAGTTATGGCCAGGTTTGTTACAGTTATAGTTAGAAACAGTTAGGAGTTAGTTAGCTACAGGTTTGGGTGGTTAGGAAGTAGTTATGAATTCTGTTTTTTTGCCAGCAGTTAGGGAAATGGTTTTGACAGTTAAGGGTTGTTAGAATCTATTTTGGTTATTCTGTTTGTGGTTATTCTGGAATCTGAATGAAACTGTTAAACATTTGCTAATTGTTTTGCATTTTTCCCTAAGCTAGTTTTATTTATTTGATACAGGGCTGCAGGTTTTGGCATAGCTGGAGGATTGATCATGGTCATGATTTAGAAGCTTGAAAAGGGCTTAAAATGTGGATCTCATGGAGTTTTGGCAAAGGAGGTTATAGACGAGGATAAAGTCATAGGTTTAATGTAATGTGTTATTTTGTAATTTTGGTGTAATGTCTATGTACCATGAAATATCTTGTACTTGTACCTTTTGTCCCGAACTTGAATAAAACTTGATAATTTTGTACAAACTTGCACACTTGGTCCAATGATGGAATTTTGGATGAGCCTTGAACGAATGATGAGTGGTTATAAATTTATTGAAACTTAAATGGTTTCATGGGCTTGTAAGTCTTTACAAATTTATAAGTTGTATACCAAGAGAACCATATGAATGAACTATCCAACCTTATCTTGAATCAACCAAATGATAAATCGTGAAACCGAGACCTTAAACCAATATTAATCTTGAGTGCAATTAGAAGCTTTAATGAACCTAAATTGACATCTCATTTCTCTTGAAATCCTAGTTAACTTGTAATTGAAGCAACAAGTATTTGGAATAATGACACCCTGAGCACAATAGATCTCCAAACTCAACACCTTGTATCATGGTTCAACAGTGGTCTTAACACAACAACAAAGCCTTGAGGGAATCTGGAGAATGAACATAGGAATACGGAAGATAGCCTTGACTTGAAAATCCAATGATCCTTAATTGAATATTACAGGCGAAAACCCTAATTCTTCAAGATCTCCGATCTCATGCCAAATTATGTTGTTAGCGAATGTATGCAGTTAAATGACCTAATGGATATATGTACATGAGAAAAGCGCGAAAATGCATAAACCAGATAAAAGTAAAAGGGTAGGACAAATTTGGGGTATTACACTAATCACCGCTTTTGAGTTTCTCAGAATGTTACATTTTTTATCATCAATATATGTTTCATTCTTTTTCTCCTGCCACAAATGATATTGCTATTCTTCCTAATTTTTCTGTTATACCTCGATTTATAGAATGTTACAAACCAGGAATCACATATATCAGACAACGCATAAAACAAGTTCCCACTGCCCCTCCCGACATAGATCCGCCACCTGATGCTGAAGCGGTCGAACTACGACGTTCTATTCGAATATCTGAAGCACCAAATAGATATTCACCAGACAGGTATAATTCCTCACATACTTCTCTGACTACCTCATTATCTAGCATATCTATTCCTACTTGTTATGTATATGCTGTTAAAGACGTGCGTTGGATAAAAACAATGAATGCGAAACTTCATGCTCTTCAAGAGAACTTTACATGGGATATTGTCTCTTGTCCCCTTGATATGAAACTCATAGGCTACAAATGAGTGTATTATGTGAAACTGAATTCTAATGGGTCTCTCAGCCGTTTCAAGGCTCGATTGGTTTATTTAGGAAATAAGCAAGAACTAATTGATTATGATGAGATATTTGCACCCCATTTTCCAAAATGACAACTATTCGTACGTTACTCACTATAGCTGCTTCGAACAGATGGTCTCTTCATCAAATATATGTGAAAAATGCATTTCTTCATGGTGACTTGATAAAATGTATTTATATGACTCCCCCTTAAGGTTTATTCTCGTCATCTAAGGGTGTGTGCAAGCTCAAACACTCCTTATACGGTTTGAAACAAGCGCCTAAAGGATGGTATGAAAAATTCCGCTCCAATATATTTGGGTTCTCCTTTACTCAGAGTCAGTATGATTCTTCTCTATTTATTCATAGAATGTCTACTGTAATTGTCCTACTTTTTATGTATGTTGATGATATGATTATTACTGGTTCTGATCATGCTTCAATTCAAAGCCTTAAACAACAGTTACAAGCATCATTTCATATGAAAGATCTTGGTAATTTCCATTATTTTCTTGGTCTTGAGGTTGATTCTACATCCAAGGACATATTCCTTCATTAATACAAGTATGTCACAAATTTGATTTTTATGGTTGGTCTCTAATTGGCTAATTCAGTAGATACTCCTCTTGAGGTTAATGTTAAATATCATCTTGATGATGGTGATCTATTGCCTGATCCCTTATTGTACCGTCAACTCGTGAGTAGCCTTAATTACTTGACTACTACTCGTCCTGACATATCTCTTGTTGTTCAACAAGTAAGTCAATTCATGCATTCTCCTTGCCACATTCACTTGGCAGCAGTTCGTCGCATAATTCGTTACTTGAAGGGAAGCTCTCATCGTGGTTTATTCTTTCCTACTGGAATTTCTCCTAAATTTAGTGCTTATAATGATGCTGATTGGGCAGAGTGTCCTGATACTCAATAATCTGTCACTGGTTGGTGCATGTTTCTTGGCTCTTCGTTGATCTCATGGAAAAGTAAGAAACAAGCGAGAGTCTCTAAATCTTCTACTGAATCTGAGTATCGTGCCATGTCTGATGCTTATTCTGAAATAATTTGGCTTCGTGGTCTTTTGGCTGAACTTGAATTTCCTCAAATAGAGCCAACTTCACTTTATGCTGACAATACAAGTGCCATCCAAATCGTGGTGAATCCTATTTTTCATGAACGCACCTAACATAACGAAGTTGATTGTCACTCAATCAGTGATGCGTATGATGACCGACTAATATCACTTCCTCATGTCAGTACTTAGTTGCAGGTTGCAAATATTCTTACCAAGGTTGTTCCGTGTCTACGTCATCAGTTTCTTGTTAGCAAATTGATGTTAATTGACCAACAACATCAATTTGAGGGGGAATGTGAATAAGAATTAGTTTGTTCCTAAAATAAGAGTTTGTTCCTAGAATAAGGGAAACAAATCAAAAATTGATTTGTTCTCATTAAATATAATTATTTAGTGTAATTACCTGTATACCCCTATAAACTCTAAATATACAAGAAATAACAATGAGAAAGACATCAAGCTATAATTTATTGACAATTTTTCTGAGGGTAAAAGTGAAAAAGAGAAAATAAAAAAATATTACTTTTATCAACAGTGTTGCTGTCAAGAAAAATTATTAGTATTATTTTGATTTAATTTCATTCTATTTATAATTCTGATAAATATTATAATAAAAATGTTTGCAATTTGTCTCATACCAACAATTGAGATGAAAAGCTATCAGCATGCATGAACAAGAGAAACACAGAGGAAGAGGAAACACTTCATATTGGGATGCATCCACTTCAAATTAAATCTTAAAAAAGAGAAAAAGATGATTAAACAGATGCATGCAGTGATCATGCTTGATAAGGTTAAATGTTGGTGCCACTAACCTAATGAACTAAACCAAAATATCAATTCCCACTTCATTGAATTAGAAATCAATATAATATTAACTTATTCATTGCAAATAATAAGTTACAGGAAAATCTACACTGAGAATCTTAATAACAACATCATTGTTTATTCAATTCTCATTCCACAAATAAGCTTAGAAATTAAGTTCAACTTCAAGGGCTAATTACGAGGACGAACACCTGCAATCCAAATGAAAAAGAAGTCCATTATTACTTTTGTATTTTGTAGTTTAGGAATTTTGAAGTGCACAATAAAGTGATAAAATTGAAATTATAATTTCATAAGCAGTTAGTGTGTTAGTAATGATTCAAATAAACATAAGAAAATATCAATTTATCTTACCAGCGAAAAAAGTTTTTCTGGCTATGCTAAGCTCTTTAGTGACATCTACAATATTCATTCTTTCTTTTGGTGGTTCCATTGAACAATTAAGTCCAATCCTAAAAAATGAAACTAAGCACTCCTCATCAATAGTTGGAATAAGATTCTCACAAATTTCATCTTGTATTTTTTCTTCTGTATTTCTAGATACAAGACCTGGGTCCAAAATATTTATAAGATTACCAGGAAGTGAATTTGCAACAAAGTCATGCAGATTTTCACCATCTTCAAAAAATTCATCCGTAGGTTTTCTACCAGTAAGCATTTCCAATACCAGGATTCCAAAACTATACATGTCTCCACGTGTAGACATTTTAGAGCCCATCCCATACTCTAAAACATGTATCAAAAGTTAAGAAATTATTTAGTGTGCACCAAAACTTAGGAGAATTCAAAAAGACAAGATTCAAGAATTAATATCAATACCTGGAGGAGTATAGCCAACAGTCCCTTTTATTCCAATTGTACTTGTATCATTGTGAGAGCTACCACCAATGTTTGAGACAAGTCTTGCTATGCCAAAATCACCCACATGAGCAACCATGTCATCATCAAGAAGTACATTACTTGGCTTTAGATCACAATGAAGGATCAATTGTTCACACTCCTGATGAAGATAATGTAATGCTGAAGCAACATCAGTAATGATGTTTAATCTATGACTGAGGTCCAATGTTGCTTGATGCTCTTCATTTAAAATCTCAGGATGCAACCATTGCTCTAAGCTTCCATTTTTCATGTAATCAAAAACTAGAGCTTTAAATTCTTGACCCTTATAATCTGAACTAGAGCAACATGTTATAATCTTAACTAAATTTCGGTGTCTAATATTTTTTAGTGCATTGCATTCAAGAATAAAACTCTTGTGTGCTCCCTTCTTTTGGAGATTCAGGACCTTTATGGCAACAACATTATCTTCTGACACAAGACTACCTCTGTACACACAACCAAAACTTCCTGATCCGATCAAGTTATTAGCTGAGAACCCATCCGTTCCTCGATGCAAGTCTTGGTAGGAAACCTTATCTAGCTGATGAATTGTTGGTGAATCAAATAATCGTTTTTGGTTTCTTTTTCGCATCGAGTAGATAGTTATAACAAAAATAAGTATGACAAGAAAAGAAACCACACTAACAGCTACCAACATGAACTTATTGTGTTTTGTGTGTTTCTTATCCTTGACCGGGCATGCTGGTAGACACAACTTTGAAATACCTCCACAAAGCTTTTTGTTTCCAACCAATCCTACTTGGGTTGCATTTCCAAAGACACCGTGAGTAGGTACCACACCTTCCAGCATGTTAAAAGAAATATTCAACTGTTTTAAACTAGGAATATTCTGTAAAACATCAGGGATCGATCCAGACAATTGATTTATTGAAAGGTCTAAATATTGAAGACCTCTGAGAAAAGCCAAAGAAGATGGTATTGTTCCGTTGAACGAGTTCCCTTGCAAGTCAAGGTGTTCTAAACTTATGCATTTACCTATAGTTATAGGAATATCACCGGATAGACAATTCTCAGAGACATCTAACCAACCGATATTTGTTAGCATACCCACTTCTCTTGGTAAGCTACCTCTCAAAGAGTTATGTGACAAGTCAAGTAAATTTGACAAGGAAAAAAGATTAAAAACCTCTATAGGGATGGTTCCTCTAAGCTTATTATGTGAAATGTCTAGATATTGTAACTTTTGACAGTTTTCTATGCTTGGATGAATATTTCCTTCAAGCATATTAAGATGTAAATCTAAATAATACAATTGACTAAGGTTGCCTATAAGTTGTGGTATATCTCCAGAAAACTTGTTTCCGCTCAACATTAACTTTTGCATCTTTCGAAACTTCCCAAAAGTAGATGGAATATTTCCTACAAATTGGTTATAGGCCATGTTCAAATTAATTAAGCCAACTAGAGATCCTAATTCAGCAGGAACTTTTCCTGATATCCTATTATTTGCAAGATCTAGTATTGCAAGCTCAGAGGATAAATTGCCTATATAATTTGGTAGAATGCCTCCAAAGTTATTACAGCAAATAGAAAACTCATACAACACACTACAGTTTGTCAAAGTTTTAAAAAACTCCAAATCCTTAGTTGAATTGCTACCTAAATTGTTACCTTCCAAATTCAGAAAATGTAAATTTTCTAGTCTCCCTAAACTTGGAACTTGTCCTACAAAATAATTTGTACCAATATCAAACCATATAATCGCAGATGCGTTTATTATGGAAGTAGGGATTGGGCCTGAAAATTGATTTTGTCCGATGAAAAAAGTTTGGAGATTGGGGAGGGTGTTGAAAGTGTTGAGTGGGAGAGAGCCATGAAAGTTATTCTCTGTCACAGAAAATACAGTAAGTGATGAGATATTGTAAAGACAAGAAGGAATGGTACCAGACAATTTGTTCAATCCCAAAAGTAAAAATGACAAGTTTCTGAGGCGACATATTTCACGTGGAATATCTCCTTGTATGTTGTTATCATCACATGAAAAACGCGCTAAGCTTGAAAGGTTCCCTATGAATGAAGAGATTCCCCCAGTTAAATTGTTTCGCCAAACACTAAATGATTGAAGCTTTTTCAAAGAGCCAATTCCAATTGGTATTTTGCCAATTAGATTGTTCTTATGCAAATACAAGTCCGTGAGATTGGAGCAATATGTCAAGTTTGTAGGAATTTCACCTGCGAATGAGTTATTGTTGAGACGAAGTTGTTGCAATTGTAGCAACTTACCTAACTCATGTGGAATTTCTCCAAAGAAGCTGTTGTTGCTAAGGTTGAGATTTATCAGAAAAGTGAGATTGCCAACATGGGGAGATAAAGATCCATGCAACTCATATCCTTTCAAGTTCAACTCAATAACTCTTTGATGCATGGGGCTGCATGTGATTCCACGCCATTTACAGAAGCGGATGGAAGAATTCCAAGATTCAAGAGTTCTATATGGATCATTGGTTATTGATTCTTTGAATTTGCGCAATGCTAAATGATCAGTTTGATTTCCTAATGGCACTGCCACAATTTTGTTTGGGCCAAAGCACATTAAATATAGGGTAAACAGAAAAAACAGATGAAGGTATAAAAGCATAGGTGAGAAGAGAGAAAAATAAATCATTTGGTTTAAAGAAAGAAAGATGTTTATGGTATTTGATTTTTGTTTGTGTTGGGTAGTTATGGAGAATAGAGAGGAACTGCATGCATATAAATAGTGGCGGAAGAATGCAGAGTTTAAATATTTATTAAGTTGAAAACAAAACAAAAAAGAGATTATGTTCAAAAGTCAATTGATTGAAAAGAGACAGAAGCACGGCATAAAGGAGCCAAAACTCAGTGATAGTGCAATGTGATTAATTGTCGACATATTTTTCTTTTATGTATACTTGCAAGTTGACTTGGAGTGAGAAAGCATTGACGGGTATTGCTAGTTTATGATTGAATCAGAAACTTTCACGATGGAAATAGTTTCTTTTGGAGTAGAATATGCTAAAAGATAATATGAGAAGGTTTGGGGATTTCTTAATCCACCTATGAGGTGGAAAAAGATTCAATGCAAAACCGAAAATGTTTCTCAATTTTCGAAAATATATATTCGAACACATCTTTTGTATCTCACGTCAACGAGTAAAATTAGATTCACCTTACAATCAAATTTAAAGTTTGTCTGGAGATATATCTCCGGAACTAAGTGATAAAATATTATCAATTGTGTGGGATTTTGGATCGAACTCTAGTTTGATCGAAGTATCTTCTGTAGTCGAAGACGGGTCTGTCGAAGGATGCTTGTAAAATTAGGTTTTAGTGTTTAAACCCTAATTTGTTAAGTTAGCTTGATTATTAAGTTAGCTTGTATAATGGGCCTTGTGGAAAAAGCCCATTAGTTAGTATGTTAGGTTTTATTATAAATAGCATACTAGTCTCTCATCATTGCCATCACAGCAAATCCTAATTTAGGGTGAGAGGGTTATTTGTTATTCTTGTAAACTTGTAATCTTGTTTTCTAAGAGAAAGTAAAGAATAGCAGTTATAACCAATTCTTGTGTTCTTCTTCTTCCTTGTTCTTTATTCTTCCCTTATTCTATACTTTGTTATTGGCATTGAATTCACAACAAATTGGTGCGGTGAGCGTGGAGAAGATGCCCTCGACAAAGTATGAGATCGAAAAGTTCACCGGAGTGAATGATTTCGGTCTATGGCGCTTGAAGATGAAAGCCTTACTGGTTCAGCAGGGTTGTTTGGAAGCGTTGAAGGGAGCGACGGCGATGGACGCTGCGTTAACAGAAAGAGAGAAGACGGCCATGATCGAGAAAGCACACAGCGCAATTTTGTTGAGCCTTGGTGATAAGGTTCTTCGACAGGTATCAAAGGAGACGACGGCATCAGGGTTATGGGTGAAACTTGAAAGTTTGTATATGACCAAATCTCTGGTAAATCGACTCTACCTGAAGCAAGCTTTGTATTCATTCAAGATGATCGAAGACAAAGTGTTGGCTGAGCAGTTGGATATGTTCAACAAGCTGATTCTTGATCTTGAAAATATTGATGTAAAGATTGATGATGAAGATCAAGCGCTGTTATTATTGTGCGCTTTGCCCAGATCACATGCTCACTTCAAAGAAACCCTCTTGTATGGAAGAGAGTCCCTGACCTTTGAAGAAGTTCAATCAGCTTTGTACTCGAAGGACTTGAACGAACGTAAGGAGCATAAACCTTCGACGGTTGGTGAAGGTTTGGCTGTTAAAGGAAAATTCGACAAGAGGAAAGGTAAAAATCAGTCGAAGTCTTATAGTGGTGATGCATCTGGTATTAGATGCTATCACTGTAAGAAAGTAGGTCACACAAGAAAGGTGTGCCCTGAACGCCTGAAAGATCATGGAGGTAAGGATAATGGCAACGCAGCTATTGTCCAAGATGATTTCGAATCATCTGATGTTCTTGTGGTTTCAAGCAACAACTCGTCGAAGGAGTGGATTATGGATTCTGGATGCACTTGGCACATGACTCCAAACAAAGACTTGTTCGAGGAATTATGTGATCAAGATGGTGGATCTGTATTGCTGGGAAACAACAAAGCTTGCAAGATTGCAGGCGTTGGATCTGTGAGATTCAAGCTCCATGATGAGTCAATAAGATTGTTGACTGAAGTCAGATATGTACCTGATTTGAAGAGAAATTTGATTTCTCTTGGTGAATTCGACAAGAAAGGATATGTGTTTCAAGGAGAGAAAAGTATCCTGAGAGTCATGAAAGGGTCGAAGGAAGTCTTGAGAGGCGTAAAGAAACAAGGCTTGTATACCCTTGAGGCTGAAGTTGTAAGTGGTTCGACAAATGTTGCATCCACGAAACCTTTGTCGAAGACAGAAATTTGGCACATGAGATTGGGCCATGTCAGTGAAAGGGGTCTGGTTGAATTAGGGAAACAAAATCTGCTTGGTGGAGATAAAGTCGAAAAGCTGAAGTTTTGTGAACCCTGTGTACTTGGAAAGTCCTGTAGAATGAAGTTCAACAAAGGCAAACAAAGAACACATGGATCCCTTGATTACATCCATGCTGATCTTTGGGGGCCTGCAAGGTGTCCATCACATTCAGGAGCAAAGTATTTTCTATCCATAGTAGATGACTATTCCAGAAAGTTATGGGTATTCATCCAGAAGACTAAGGATGAAACTTTTGAGAATTTCAAAAGTTGGAAGACTCTTGTCGAAAATCAAACTGGCAGAAAGGTAAAGAGGTTGAGAACCGACAATGGCCTTGAGTTTTGCAATGAGGCGTTCGACAGATTTTGTGTTTCCTCTGGTATTGCAAGGCACAGAACTACTGCAGGTACTCCACAACAAAATGGTTTGGCTGAAAGGTTTAATCGAACTATTTTGGAGAGAGTTAGATGCATGTTGACTAGTGCGGGATTAAAGAAGGTGTTTTGGGCTGAGGCTGTTTCGACAGCAGCATATCTGATAAACAGATGTCCTTCGACAGCGTTAGATATGAAGACACCTGAAGAAGTTTGGTCGGGACATCCACCAGATCTCGACAAACTAAGAGTATTTGGCTGTGTAGCCTATGCTCACATTAGGCAAGACAAGGTCGAACCTAGAGCTCTGAAATGCATGTTTATGGGATACCCTGAAGGAGTGAAAGCTTATAGGCTATGGTGCCTAGAGCCAGGTCACAGGAGGTGTATCACCAGTCGAGATGTAGTTTTCAATGAAACTGAAATGGCTTTCAAGAAAACTGATGATGTTGACGAAGAGCTGGAACAGGTAGAGATTCCTGTTGAGGTGGAGCATGTTGATGCTGAAATGCGTATCCCAGATGAAGTCGAAGAAGAAACAGAAGATTCTGATGATGTTGAGGAAACTGTTGATGACTACCTATTGTCGAGAGATAGGCAAAGAAGAGTCATAAAACCACCTCAGAGACTTGGATATGCAGATCTTGTAGCTTATGCCTTAATCTCTGCAAGTGAAGTTCTAGACGAAGAACCTAGAGATTATAAGGAAGCTATAAGGAGTCGAATGAAGACTGAATGGCTAAAGGCCATGCATGATGAGATGAAATCTCTTCATGATAATCACACTTGGGAACTAATCAAGAAACCTGTTGGGGCAAGGTTAGTCAGCTGTAAGTGGATTTTCAAAGTTAAGGAAGGAATTGAAGGAGTAATGTCGAAGAGGTACAAGGCAAGATTAGTCGCAAGGGGTTTCACTCAGAAAGAAGGTGTCGACTTCAATGATGTATTTTCCCCTGTTGTGAAGCACAGATCCATCCGAATGTTGCTTGCCATGGTGGCCCAGTTCGACCTTGAACTGGAACAAATGGACGTGAAGACTGCGTTCTTGTATGGTGACTTAGATGAAACAATCCTGATGAGGCAACCTGAAGGGTATGTCAAAAAGGGGAAAGAAGATTATGTGTGCAAACTGAAGAAATCTTTATATGGACTTAAACAATCTCCTCGACAGTGGAATAAGAGATTCGACAAGTTCATGGAACACATAGGTTTCATCAGAAGTCAGTTCGACCATTGTGTTTACTCCAGATTTCGACCTGAAAATTCATTTGTAATTTTGTTGCTTTATGTTGATGATATTCTGATAGCAAGCAACAATGTCGAAGATGTAATGAGGGCGAAGGCTGAACTCAATAAGGAGTTCGACATGAAGGATCTGGGAGCTGCATCTAGGATTCTTGGAATTGACATTCGAAGAGATAGAAAGCAGTCGAAACTATGCTTATCTCAAGAGGCATACCTACGAAAGATTCTTGACAAGTTTGGTATGTCGAATTCAAAGCCTGTTGTGACTCCAACAAACCCTCAATTCAAGCTGAGTATTGATCAATGTCCCAGTACTGATGTTGAAAGAACCTATATGAATAGCATCCCATATGCTAATATAGTTGGTTCTTTGATGTATGCTATGGTCTGTACTAGACCCGACATAGCATATGCAGTAAGTCTTGTAAGCAGGTACATGGCGAATCCTGGAAAGGCTCACTGGCAAGCGTTAAAGTGGATTCTAAGGTACATAAATGGGTCTCTGAACAGAGTCTTAATTTATGGTGGAGCCTTGGGTGAAGATAGCAAAGCAGCAGTCGAAGGCTATGTTGACTCTGATTATGCAGGCTGTATGGATTCCAGAAAATCTATTTCTGGATATGTTTTCACTATGTTTGGTACAGCAATTAGTTGGAAAGCAACTCTTCAGAAGGTTGTTGCCTTATCAACTACTGAAGCAGAATATATTGCCCTAACTGAAGCTGTGAAAGAAGCATTGTGGCTTGAAGGTTTTGCAAAGGAGCTGAAACTTCAAGGTCAAGGTATCACTGTTAAATGTGATAGCCAAAGTGCAATACACCTGTCGAAGAACTCAGCCTATCATGAGCGAACCAAGCACATAGATGTGAGGCTGCATTTCGTCAGAGGGGTAATCGAGCGTGGAGAAGTCCAAGTGCTGAAGGTTTCGACAGATCACAATGCTGCTGATATGATCACCAAAACATTGCCAAGTTGCAAGTTTTTCCACTGTATGCAGTTGATAAAGCTGCATGAAGAAAGCTAGTTAGTGTCTCTTGATGCTGTCGAGTTAGGTCCAAGGTGGAGATTTGTGGGATTTTGGA